ACAGTATTGGCGCTTCTTTGAATGTTTTTGCCCACATTACGGATATTGCGCCTTTGACCCTAACAGTTGTAACGTTATTTTGCCATTCGACTGTCTTCTTTAACTTTACACCCATTATTTGTCTTTGCTTGGTTGAGCCTTATCGTGACTGCTTCACTACTATTGCGCGATGTTGGATTGTTGAAAACGTGACGTGGTTTTGCTGCTCACGACATTTTGTTTTGGCCCAACTTAAGGCTGTGTTGTAATTTGACCGCTTGTCTTTTGACAGTCCACTTGAGACGTTTATTCGTTGATTTGATTTTGGTAGACATAGTTTTTGATCCCCTTTTGCCGGAAATGTTCTTATTGATTCTCGGACACCTAACTATTCCATTTGGTTGACCAATTTTTACCATATAGTACGTACTCATGCCGGAGAACCTTTGGACTGTATGGTTGCCCGACGGCGCTGTTGAGGAACGTGGAAAGTGCATGAAAGTGTGTGTAGATCACTTAAGTTAAAAGTAGTGTTTCCTTTTCATCGCTTTCTACACATTTGTACATGCTTCCCGATACTTACAAAAAGAGGGTTTTTCATCTGTACACTTTTTTTGGTTGTGGCAGACATACTGACTTTGCTGCTGCTGCTTAACGAGGAAATATAGTGTGCTTCTATCCATTCCGACTCCTGTCTCCGTGACTCTTGTCTGTCGTGAACACTCACTGATTGTCTTTGGATTTTACAGGACCTCCCGCCCTACTTACAGTATTATGACAATCACGCCAACCAACGTCGACTGTGGAGAGCTAATAAGTGTCGCCTTTTGAACTCTGAGGTATACTAAATTGTGGCGGACAGTAGCTAAGAGATAACATTCAAGTGCTCCGTTAGTATGCATAACAGTGGCGTTACTATTCTGTGTTATAAGGCATAACTTTTTATATTTTGCATCAGTGAATCTATTTTTCTAAAAATATATGTTGTTTATCATCCTGGTTTACTTGACATTTCTTTGGGTCCACTGCGTACTTTTTGGTGAGCCAGATCAAGCGAACTTACTCTACCCCGTGCTTATATTTCGAGTTTAGTTTTGCACATATTCCCTAAATTTTGTTAATTTTTCGACTAACCATTCAACGACAACCACAACAAATAGCCCTCGGTGTAGCCCGCCGCACACCCCTACCCACTCCTCTAGCATTCAGTCACAGTTGACGGAACTAACGTCCAGGTTTGAAGCTTTGGCAGCAAAAGGGTAGAATATCGATGTTCGTTGCCCGAGGTCCAAATCTCGTAAACGCTGAAATGATAGGCGTCGACCCTGCGCACCTAAAGCCACACAGGAATTTTGTTCGTATCACAGAAAGTTTGGGTGCGAAACCAACCGGTGTTCTAGATTCTGTGACTTTAATAAAAACTCGTCGTTAGATCAGGGAAACTTGTCAACCAGAAAGTGATGGTGAAAGCTGTTACTGGCAACCATCCCAGTCCCCTCTTCTACGTGGCAGGCACCCGGTTAGTAGCTGACACAGGTGCCGAGGTTAGTGTTATTCCGCTCTAGCTTTCTCGGTGACCGTCAGCAACCCCTAGCAAGTTGTCTGTACAGACCGCAAACAAGACTCCTACATCAGCTTTCGGTGAGCAGTCACTGATATTAGATATCGGTCCACGCCACTGATTCACACGGATTTTCTTCGTTGCAGATGTACACCATCCCACATTACGGACCGCCTCCTTGAGTGCTTTCAATCTGCTGGTCGATGTCAACAAGAAGAAGTTGATTGACGCTTGCACAAGGCTGAACGTATGGGGCATAGTGCCAGGACGTTCCACTCATGGTTTCTGCATTGCAAAACCTGAAGGTGACAGATATTCACACCTGCTACAAGACTTCCTCATCATAGTGAGACCCAACTATCACACCGAAAAAGTACACCACCAAAGGTCAACCCGCCAGTGCACGGCCCCAACACCTACCACCCGACAAGCTAGCCGCCGCCAAAGCTGAATTCTGTCGTATGATGCAGCTGGGCACAATACGGCCGTCCAACAGCGTTTAGGCTTCACCGCTGCACATGGATGCAAAGAAGGATCATGATTGGCGTCCATGTGGCGACTATCGTGCTCTGAACAATGCGACCGTCCCTGATCACTACCCTATCCCCCACCTTCACAATTTTTCCCTCACCCCGCATGAGAAAAACATATTCTCAAAGGTGGACCTAGTTCGTGCATACCATCAAATACCTGTTGCACTGGAAGACATCGGAAAACGGCGATAATAACTCCTTTCTGATTGTTTGAGTTCCTCCGGGTGTCATTTGAACTCAAAAACGCAGCTCAATCGTTTCAATGCTTCAAGGGTCAGGTTACGCAGGGCCTCGATCTTGTTCTTGTCGATATTGGTGAAGCCCTGATACCAAGTGCTTCTCGGAAAGAACACTTTCAACACCTTGCCATTTTTTGAACCTTTTCAGTGATACGGGGTAGTTATTAATCCTAACAGGTGCGTCTTTGTGATCCTTCGTTAGTGTTTTGGGACATTAGATGGACGCCCAGGGTATAAGCAACGACGAGATCACATGTGACGCAAGCGTTGAATGTTGTGCCACTTTGGTACCACTTTATTGTGATGGAAAATTGGCAAGCGGAAACGACGAAAACTCATAAACAATCTGTATGTACTGTAAAATGAGGTTTTCCTGTTCTTTCCGTAACCTGCAGACACCTTTTATATCACACCGAGAGCGAAGAGCTGAGTGAAAACCCACAGAAAGCAGCAAGCCAAAGGGTTTAGAGTGTGCCCATAACCACCTTTCATCACTAAACGTTTGGACTCTACGGAATACTCTGACGCCAAAAGTATCGATAGCCATCAGGTTGACGTTATTCAAAAGACCGTTAGAAAAACTCACTAGGACACGTCTATTAACATCGCCCTAATCATCAAGCCTCTTATCTCGCTTATCCATTGAAGGACCGTGTATTTATTTCCAACTTTCTCTCACTCTTGCCTTTATCTCGTCAGACACCTTGGACGGGGAAGTATCTTCACCAAACATGTCCTAGTCCCGAAAGGACAGGCAGTTCACGGAAGGCGGGTGAGTGGCCGCACACATTACAACGCACCCAAACGTCAAGGAGGCGAGCGACCACGTGCTTAGCGACTTACCAGAAGCCTTATGGTTCTGTTTCACCATAAACTAAACAAGATGCCTATTGGGATTGGCACATAGGCCTCCCCTATGCACAACAGAGCACAAGGCAACATTTTTCGCCGCCGCTTCGACATCCACCTCGGCAGCCTGTAGTCATGTAGTCCGGATGGTCATGGGCCACAAACTTGATGACTGCTCGGGATGACTGGGCCAACAAATAGGACAGCGAGCATCTAGCGCAGGTTATCGTTCTAAACTTGGCCAAAACTTAAGGTAGCTCGCTAAACTTGCAAAAGTAGGTATCACCGCACCGCTCTTAGCATGGTCTCCAGCATATCTGGAGGATAGAGAATTCTGCAGTGAAGTAGACAGAACTCAGTGAGCCTGAAGGAGTCCGAGAATAGGCGTTTCTCACGGGGGAATCGTTGTGCCACCCCTATTTTTTCATCTGTTAGTGAGTCCCCCTCTAAAACTCCCCACCTCTCCCCTTATTTGCCGACGACATCAAAGTGTGGAGGACAGTAAGTAGGGAAGAGGATCACAGGATACGTCAAGACGGTTTGATGCATCTGGAGTCCTGGTCAACCGCAAATGGAATAAGCTTTAACGTAGAGAAATTCAAATTGACGTTCTGCACACGTCGGACGCGTTGAAAGCCAGCTATGTCTTCAACAAATGCGCAATCACTAGGGTGTCGATAGAGCAGGACCTAAGATTGAACCTGTGTCAGACCACACCTGGGGGTACTCAACACGATGGCCGCCCGTCTACTAAGAGGACTCGAGTACTCCCGAGATGGTACAGAAAAGAACGACAAGGTCGGCTGCCGCGAAACACATGCGAGACACCTCAGACTGCCCAACGAATTCACACTAAGCTATCGAATGAAAAGAGGTGACCTGATGGCAGCCCACAAGATAATTCACCCAGTTAACCACTCCAACAGGACAGCATTATCGGCCAGAAACCGACTGTCTTGCGGGTTGCCAACTCGAATATGCGCCACGAGTAAACGTAGAGAGCGAGATCAGACTCTTTTCATATAGTGTATGCCTTATGGAACGCTCCACCGAAGCCGCAGCCACAACTACATCACTCGGCTCCTTCGAACGACCGACGGATAGGTATGTGGGCGCAAGCGGCTTACCACGAACATTTGCCAGTAAAAACAAGAGGTATACCCACTCATCCCTGCACCCCTAAGTGACAGTATATGGAATAAGATCCACCATTTCTGCATGCTATAACTAGTAATAACTCACCTTTCCATAAGTACTTTTCACTCCTCTTTTTCTGATTCGGCACTCGCTCTATTTCTAGCAAAACTTTATAAGTAACGCTCTGCACTCAATTGCAGGTATTTGCAAAACAGGTACAAAAAAGGTTAATTGATCCTATCAGCAGCTCCTTCACTGTCCCAAACAAACAGGTTATAATTTGCAAAGGAATACCTTCAAGTAGACAATCAGTACCTCCAAAGCTATAAGCAGGGAAAACATAAAGACTCATGCTACCATCAAAGGAGTATGACCGAACCAAAAGAGCTAAACATCGGTGCCCTGAAGCGAGAGCTCAAAAACTATCAGTTTCCTCTTCTCGCACTATTGCTATTTGACGTTATTGTTACATGCACCTACGTGGTCGAACACATTCATCTACAATCCTAGCCCTAATAGCTTAAAGTAAGACAGTAGGGAGAAACTCTGGGTATATTGACGCGACCCACAAAATTAAGCGGAAAGGTTCGAAAATAGTCAGCTTATTATTCTTGCGTCATAGATACTGTATATTAGATCATCCTGGCGGTTATTTGAGTCGCTTCAAGGTCAGCCGTCCGAGGGTTAATTTGCGTGCAGTTGGTTTTTCCGGTTTTTGAATTCCGGTAAGAAAATAATATTAGAATTTCATGCAGCGGCTTCTAAAGTAATAAACTTTTGTTGCTGAAGAATCCAGACTCCTTTCAACTTGTTTGAGTTCACTTCTCTTTTACACTCTTCTTATCTTTTTACAACCAGTCAGAACAACTGTCTGGTCACTAAAACATTGAGAAGCTCGTCTGCACCACAGTTGGTGGATGAATCACACAACCCCTATAACCCAGCCGGCAAACACTTTAAGCGCACCTTGACATTTTTGGTTAATTCCCGAAATCAAAATTAGGAGCAGTTTGGGGCTTTTAGGCACATCTCTCAGATAAATTCTGTTTCGAAAAATCATAAGATTGTATACGGATTTTGGGAAGTTTATTGACAGTTACAGATCTTGTATACTGTGACTAATTAGTCGCAGTATGCTTAAGCATCCACAGATGCAAATTCTGTTCATTTTCTTACTTACTGCCTGTCGTAATGCATTATTTGTGGAACATTTTGAACACTGCGGACAAGTTGACAAATTTGAATGCAGTTTAGACGATTTGGGTAATTTGGGAGCACTTTGATAATTTCGGAAACGGATTCCGACAGTCAGAGACACCAATGTATGAAGTCTCTGACTGTTGGTTTAAGCCATGTAGGGCGATGTAGACTAGATGGTTGGGGTCCGTGGGAAAAGAGGAACCAGTGGTTGCAGACCCTAGGTGATATGGCTCAGAACCGAAATCAGTGGCGCAGATGTATCCCCACACACATTATCCTCATCTTAACGACGCTATACCGAATCTCACCATTTTGTCACTTCTCTTTCCTTTCTCTCTTCTCGTACTTTATATTTCTTTTGACTGCATTCACTTATCTTCATCCTTCACCTCACTACCTTTTTACTTGATGTGCTGATATGAGGTGTGGCAACTCGAACCGTTACGCAGTAATGCCTGGTCCTATGTTGATAATAATAATAATAATAATAATAATAATAATAATAATAATAATGGAAACGGATTCATTGTCTGCAGTAAGCCCAAAGTTTTTTTTTACCTTTTTTTTGCCCGAAAATTTCATAATGCACCCGAAGGGTTTGCCGGCTGTAAAAAACCCAATCATTTGGGTGTAAACTTCCAACCGCCCATCGGATATATCAGAGCTACAGCAGGCAAGTAGGTAGTGAGTGGGCGAGTGAGTGCATCGGAATCCACTAAGGACCTGGATCCGTCCTGCAAGACCTAGAAGCGAACGCGAGGTCAACTGGTGTACACAAGCTCGTAATAAGATATTGGATTACCAGGTGTGGTCAGTCCCAAGAGTATCTTAAAGCCAACAACTCAGTCCTTGCTGATTAGCCGCTCTCTCCAAAAAACGACGGACAGAAGCTTCAGTCTGCTTTCACAGGAAAGATTACATCCAGAAAGGTAGATTACAACAACCTTAAATCGACCACACTCCTTAATGCCAAGGGAAGTGCTTCCTTCTAACTGATTGTGAAGATCTATCTAAATGGAGGGCTGAATGTAACCTTTTGGAAGCTTTGACCAGTGGTCTACATTAGAAGCTTACCATTCCTCTGATGATAAGTTATAAAGTTCTCTTCTAAACCTTTAAGTCTCTGGGTAACTGCCCAATCCTGGCATATCCCATGGGCAGGTCATCAGTTAGTACAGTTTAAAATGTCAGACATCACAATTAGGAGTGGTAGATCCTGGTCAGTGAGAAAACTACACAATGGCAGGAAAACCCACTCCAAAGACCCATTCTGTTTTGTCATCTTACATGAGATTGCCGAGTGTTTGGGTAGTACTTAGAATATTGAATGTATTCATGACAAGTCACTGAAAATACTTGGTGGATAAATTGCAAGTCGTTGGTTTTAAAGCCTAAAAAGTCCACCGCTTTTCAAAGCTGGCTGACGTTTCGACCATCTTTACGTCTAGGTTACTTCAAGTAACCCCCGATTCTGCGGATGTAACCAGAACAAAGGTGGAGGCATAATGTGATAAGTCAGATGCTTCCCCTAGACATATCAGGTCAAGCAAGTGTAAATTCAGGAGAAAAAGGTGGACTGAGAGTAGATTCAAGCATTTCTACTGACCAAATCTCATCTGACGGTTGAACAGTTGGGAAATGAACAAGTTTTTCCCTACTCTGCGAGGATCCCGTGCTGGTTCTCAGACAAGTATTTTTAAGAATTTGGGTGCTTTTAGTTTTGGTTTCTTACTGGTAAAAGCAACTCGATGAACCCGACTGTTCAAATGTTTGCCTCACAATCTTGTGGATTCAGTCTACTATTGGTACTATAGGTCTTCATACTCTCGCTGTATCTATAGCAGTGTGAATTGTTGCCGCACTGGTTGAGGAGTATCGTCTTAGCATAGTGGTTGTCAGTGAAACATGGCTCTCGGAGAACATAGAGAATAATAAATAAAAACTCTTGAGTTATCCTCCCTCAGAATTAGTACTAGGTATATACTCTGGTGTTGCATTAAATGTTGTCGAGGTCCCTTTTCGTTTGGAATTTCGTACTGCCCTCCAGGAACCACCGCAAGAACACGATGCAATCCACTAGAGAAGCCTTGCATTCGAACTTCGGCAGGTCCTCATTATACTTGATTTAAGCTTTCTTCACCGTTTGCTTTTGATCAAGGATTTCGAGAATTACTACTAAAACCCGCTTCACTGAGCATCTCTCAATGTACTTGGCATTCCGACTAGATTACATTCTTACCAACCCAATAATTGGTATATCCAACTTAAATGTCCATTGACCTCTTGGATGAAGTGACGATGATCTTGCTTCCTTCATTTTTATCTATGAATCATCTACCGCTAATCAACCACTTGTCAAGAATTATAGGAAATTTGATTATTAAAAGGTCTGGCAAGATATAGGAAGTTCCATTCTGTTTAACTTTGACGACTTAGTTTAGATAGTAGATGGGAAGTGTTGAAGAACACAGTCCTTGTGATGGTATGTATGCATACTCCTCTGACCTTTCTACACAGAATTGAGATGTTGTTTTCCTGACTTAAATCAAGCACGGACATGCTTATACAGTGTGTAAACGGCACGCTTAGGATCAATGAAGGATTACTAGCAGCACAAATAACTAGACAAACTAAAAGAACATGTGCAATAGATGCATGGGAAAAGTCAGAACGGATAGAATAAACTGCCGTAAACATCTTTGTAGAACAAGGACGATAAGTCATGGGTTGTTGTACTCCTTGGTGAAAACGAAGAGTAGCCTTTCACTTAGTATACAGGATCCAAATAACTTGGATTCTCCATACTAAATCTAAGGTAACTCACTTACCACCTCAGGCATTCCAAAATAACTTCTGTTAAGTGAGGGGAACAACCACATACCAGCCAAATACTCGAATTGTGATGAGGTTATCTCGTATCGAATTTAAGCCTTTTACAACCAGAAAATAGCTTAAATCCTAATAACTCTTCAGAAGTTAACAGGATTCACTCAAGGGTACTCAGAGCGTGTTGATATTCTGGGTTTCAACTGACGAGCCTCTTCAGATGTTCGTTTCTAGATCGGTTGCCTTTTTATTGGAAATGAGTGGCGGTCGTCCCATAATATGAAGGTGGAAATGAACCATTTGTCTCTAGTTATGCGCCAATAACCTTGATGTCTTCATTTATAAAGTTTATGCATGGTAATTAATAACTTGTTCTGTGATTATTCGCTTGAAAAATCAGTCCTAGCTGACTGTTAAAGTAAGTTTTCACCTTGAAGTTTGTGTAACACCTTGTTGAATGGAATAGCTGACCTGTCCCGTTGAGTTACTTCTATAAGGTCTTTGCCAAGGTGGATCATGATACATATAAAAAACTAGCTTATGGCTGTGCACTGACAGTTACTTAGTGTAACGACTACCGTAACACTGGGTTTCAATCAGTCAGAGTTGGCTCCTCCCTGTTTTGTTAACTTACGACAACTGGGGTGCAGCAGGGTTCTGTTACTTTATCACTAATGTCCCTTACTTTTATAAATGACTTACCAGGAATTCTGAATTCCCATTCAGTATTGTATGCTAAAGATTTAGGCTAGTGATTATTACTGTCTTCCAGGTGGATCTATCTTAAATTCTAAATTGAACAGATGCAAACCTGCTCCATCGACGTGGGAAAGTGTAGGATCATGGCATTAGTGTAACCCTACATCTTACTCAATGGGAGAAACAAATATCTCTCATTCAAACCTTTTTAAAGATTTAGGGTTACCTTTGGTGACACACTTGGAGCTTCTGCCCATTATCGCCTTGGAATAAATAAGGCATTTGGAGTCCTGTGATATTTTATCTCAAGCTTTAGTGACAAACTCCGGGTCTTTTTACCAGTGTATGAAGTATACATTCTTACACACCTATAAGAAAACCCACTAGTTAAATCCCCATACTTAAAGAGAGACATTGCCATCTTAGAATAGATTCAGAGAAGAACCAGAAAGAGCAATTGAGTTATGGTAAGAACCCGTAATTGAGTGGTTAAGTCACTCTTAGTATCAACCGATACAATACAGGAGGATCAGAGGAGGATATGATCATGGTGTATCGTATCCACTTCATCCTGATAGGCTGCTCTTGAACCTTAATCCGAAATCCACCTTAAGTGCCATCCTTGAAGAATAGAGCATCACAGAACACATACAAAAGTCCCTACTAACTTGTTTGGAGTTATAGGGTTTGTAAACTATGAAATTTTTTTCCTGATGAAGTTATTACAACCATTTCTGCTGATGCTTTCAAAAGGTTAAATTGAATTTATTCAAGAAACTTCCTCATCGACTGACTTGTCTGCCTTGCCTAGTACCCTTCACCTAACCTCAACATTATTAACACGGTGATTCCACAAAATGTGAGCAATGCTACGCAGATAACTATGATCAAAACCCTGTAACAGCTTCATATCTTCTACTTTCAACAGCCGTATAACAGGAGAGAACGGACTGCAGCTCAGCATACTCTTGCTTGGATAGATAGTCGGATATCTCACCAGTCGGCGCCACAGGTGATGCAAGTTGGTAAATGTCAAACATCAGCAACCACTCTGTTTGGGCTGCTGCAACTCCCCAAGTAAGTGAAGCAGTTGTCACATTCAAACACTTCACTCCCTATCACTCAACTGGATGTGGTTGCAGGCCAGTCCTGAAGCATCATCTTACATTTGACAGGTGCCAGGGAAACGCATGCCAAACATACTCAAACTTCTGCTCAGCACGTCCAGAAGACCCTGCATTTTGTAAGCGTTTTCACCTAGCAGGACGATGTCGTCTGCACACTTCAAATCAACCAGAGGGCCCCCATGGAATAGGTCAATCCCAGTGAACTCAGAAGTACCTAAGGTTATGTCCATTAGTACGTCTATAACGAAGCTAAATCGGGAGCGTGACAGTGGACATCGCTAGCGGATACCACTAGTTGTCGACAAATCAGATGTCTTGCCACTATCCAACTGACCTATCTGGTATCATAGGACCTTAAGAAACAAGCGTTCATAGGGTGTAGTTCACTGGGTCGTTGTGGCAAACAAGTGCGACCACCACAATAATGGGATTAGATATTTAATGATTAGTTAGGTACCTCACTTACAACCTACAGTAGAGAGATAGAAAGTACTGGATTGGTAGGGTTAAAGAGCTGTATGAAAAAAATCATAGTTGCCTGGATACCACGCCTGAAGAAAGAGTGGTATACTCCAAAGTAAAATTTTAGGTCACCACTGCCTACACCACTGGCAATGTAAAGAGAAGACTTACATGGTGATTGCTCTATGTTTCATGAGTAAATATGGTGTTCTGTACTTTTAATTATATGCTGATGTTTAGGGGTTGGATTTACAGGTCAGGGAGTGATATTGTAGTATAAATATCAATACTAAGAAGTAATTTAGTGTGGAAAGAAAAGGAAAAGAGGAAACGCATTCAGCCACCTTGTGAGCATGCGTACAGCAAGGAGTGAGCCACGCATGTGTGAGGGTTAATGATACTACCTGGTCACCAAAACCTCAGTAAATGGAAAGGAGCTCGAACACATGACCAAATGGTTGATAGTCATCTCCGCAAACCGTTGAGCTACTACAGCTCCACGACGTAGTATAAGCTGTACATTTCTGATTTAGTCCATTACAGGACAATACGAGCATTTGGTAAGCGCGTAGAATTGTCAGATATCGCAAAATGATCACATAGAACATAATTTCTTGATAACTTTATATATTACTAATGAAATTCCTGTTAACTTAGAATACAATTGACAACTTAATATAAGTGAAAAAGTTGCTTCAAAACGGCAGACATTTAAAGTTCCAACAAAACTTTCAACATTGTTGCTTGCAAAACCACAGAATTTAATAGAAATATGCACTGAAAAAACATCAGCTGATATATATATATATATATATATATATATATATATATATATATATATATATATATATATATATATATATATATATAAAACTAGTGGTATCCGCTAGCGATGTCCACTGTCACGCTCCCGATTTAGCTTCGTTATAGACGTACTAATGGACATAACCTTAGGTACTTCTGAGTTCACTGGGATTGACCTATTCCATGGGGGCCCTCTGGTTGATTTGAAGTGTGCAGACGACATCGTCCTGCTAGGTGAAAACGCTTACAAAATGCAGGGTCTTCTGGACGTGCTGAGCAGAAGTTTGAGTATGTTTGGCATGCGTTTCCCTGGCACCTGTCAAATGTAAGATGATGCTTCAGGACTGGCCTGCAACCACATCCAGTTGAGTGATAGGGAGTGAAGTGTTTGAATGTGACAACTGCTTCACTTACTTGGGGAGTTGCAGCAGCCCAAACAGAGTGGTTGCTGATGTTTGACATTTACCAACTTGCATCACCTGTGGCGCCGACTGGTGAGATATCCGACTATCTATCCAAGCAAGAGTATGCTGAGCTGCAGTCCGTTCTCTCCTGTTATACGGCTGTTGAAAGTAGAAGATATGAAGCTGTTACAGGGTTTTGATCATAGTTATCTGCGTAGCATTGCTCACATTTTGTGGAATCACCGTGTTAATAATGTTGAGGTTAGGTGAAGGGTACTAGGCAAGGCAGACAAGTCAGTCGATGAGGCTGTTTAGCTTCAATGATGGAAGTGGCGTGGACATGTGTTGTGCATGTCGAATCACCATCTACCTCGATATGCAATGTTAGCCGAGGATGGATTGGACTAGAAGGAGGCTTAAGGTAGCTAAATCAAGACGTGGGACCAGTTGATTAAGTCCCGTACTGTTTGTCTGAGCACTGTGGGTGGGGGGATGTAAACTGCCTAACTGGGGTCCCCAAGATGACGGAAATCAGTTGTTGAGGTTTGGCTTTTGGTGACATAGCTGAAAATCGGTCACAATGATGCAGATGTACTTCCTGACATCTCAAGATTGAATATTTGCAGTAACCGTTATCTTCAAATTGCTTATTCTTTCACACAACTTTATCGACTTTGATATCACTCTCTTTGTATTCTTCGTTTCTTTGTATGGTACTATAAAGGGTGGCAACTTGAACCGATGCATTCATGCGCTAGGTTCTACTTCGATTCTGTCTATTTGTCTATAATTCATATCGGCATCATGAAGTCATACTAAGTGGCATCGATGCACAACACCTTTTTACAAATTGCTCTACTAATAAATCTTCTAACTCACAGTTTTATCGTCTTATTTTTTATGAAAGTTGATATTCAAAGTAGGATTAGGAACTAGGGGAAGGGCGGAGTCTAAGCCGTTTTGAATAGAGTAAACTGTTAGACCAAGTGGTAAACAAAATGCATTCAGTAACCTGGTGCACATTCATGCAATGGGCAGCGGGGCTTGAATCCACAACTCCCCGCTCCACGTACCGAGGTTTGGGGAGCCAGGTAGTATCACTAACTGCCACACAATCGGTGTGGTTCATTGTCTGCTTACTGTATGAGTTGTGCATAAGAAGGCTGGACACATTACGTTTCGTTCAGTTAATAAATTAAGATTTTGTCTCATAGGGTTACATAGTCTGTATGTTTTATTCAGAAAAATTCTCGTTCCGAAAGCTTATTAGTATGTCAGTGTAGCATTCTGTGAAGTTATAATCTGTTGACATAAATTTTACATAAATCTTAAAACCGCTTACCGAGTTTAAGCCATAAGCAAATAAGACCAGTGAAAATTTCCCTTTTCAAAGCACAATGAACTTGCAGTAGTCTCCATTATTGTATACTGATCTGTTCAAAGTTTGATATAAGTAAGTCGATTTTAAATTCTTACAATCACTGTGAAACAGGCTGGCTTTTCACAACTTACGCCACCTGTGGCGCCGCTGTGATATCCGATTGTCTATTAAGGGTCGCGTGTACTGCACAGCAGTCCACTTTCTTCTACTGTATGACTGTAAAACTGTGGAAGACATGAGAAGGCTTCAAGTGTTTGACCACCATTGCCTTCGTAGTATAAGCCATATTCCTTAGTGTCACCAGGTGAATAAAGCAAAAGTCAGGTATAGAGTTTTAGGTAGGGAGAAGAGATCAGTTGAGTCAGTTGACACGGTTGTGAACCTTCATCGACTGAGATGGTTGGGACATGTGTTATGTAAGCCTAGTCACCGATTACCTCTTCACACAATGTTGGCCGAAGTAGGTTCAGTCTGGAAAAAGGCCCTAGACAGTCAGACTAAAACATGGCACCAATGTATGAAGTCTCTGACTGTTGGTTTGAGCTATGTGAGACGATGCAGACTGGGTGGTTGGGGTCGGCGGGACAAGAGTAGCCAGTGGTTGGAGACTGACTGTAGGTGATATGGCTGAGAAGGGATGTCATTGGTGCAGATGTATCCCCACACACATTATCCTCATCTTAACGACTCTATGCTGGATTTCATCATTTTCTCATCCTTCCTTTCTCTGTTTTCGTATTTTATATTTCTGTTGACTGAATTTTGTTATCTTCATGTTGCACTTTACTGCGTTTTTACTTGATGTGCTAATATATGAGGTGTGTCAAGTTGTACGGTTACGCAGTAACGCCTGGTCCTATGTTGATAGATGATAATGATGATAATGTGGAACAGGCCGATGTCAGTACACTTCTGTGAATCTCAGCTTAGAGGTTGGTGGTGTGGTTTTCAATCGTCTGACCTTAAAGTTGACAGATGAGTGCTAGATTATCCAGCCATATTTGTGATCAGCACCTACTTAACAAGTTTCCCATAGAATGTTTATTCCATGAAGTGGTAGAGTGTTTTAGGTCATATACTACTTCAAACTCTGGTTTCATTACTGACAAAATTAATGTAGAACCTTGTACACAAGTGCCATTGGCTTAAGAACCGGTGGATAGAAAAGGAGTGATATCAGAGTAGAGAAAGTAGTATAAGAGAATAAATAATCTGAAGATAAATGATAGTGTAAATATTCAAGCCATGTCACCAAGTGTCCTCAACCACTAATTCTTTTCATCTCGGAGACCCCTCAGCCAAGCAGTCTACATCTTCCCATATGGCTCAGGTCAGCAGTCAGAGACTTCATCGGCTGTTGTCACATTTTGATCTGGCCACCCTCAACCCTTCTTCATCCTAATCCAAATTCTTGTAGCATGACACATCGAAATAAGAGGTTGCTTGGCATGCCATTTCAGTCAACTAAGGTTCATCACTTTATCAGTCGACTTGCTTGTTTTGTGTATTATCTTTCAGCTGACCTCAACATTGCTCACACGATGATTCTACAAAGACACCTGTGATGAAAACTCAGTAACCGCTTCATGTCGTCTACTTTTAGCGGTTGTGTCACAGGTGCACAACAGCACAGAACGGTTTCATTACTATGTAAAGTTTATGTTGTACTTATTGTATAGAATTTCACAGATCACCTTTCTTTCAGATTCTGTTCATTCCAATCATCTGTTGTAAATGATAAATGCCGGCAAAGCGTATTATTCCATGGAAAATACCTGACTGGCTTTTGAATGATACTTTATTAAATCAATCTATTTCAGAATGTTTACCAGTTCATTATAACTTTGAATTGCATAAAACTATATGGCGAATATATTGTCTTCAAGCTAAAAAAGTTGCCTTACAAATGCCAGAAGGTTTACTATTGTTTGCTATACCAATAGCTGAAATTATTCGAAACTATTTCAGTCATACTAATCATACTTTGAAATTGGATTCTACTAATATTATTTCTGCTAATAATGAGAATATGAAAGATATTGATATTATAATTTTGGGTGATGTTACTTATGGAGCTTGTTGTATAGAAGATTTAACTGCGAAAGCTCTCAATGTTGACCTATTAGTACACTATGGTCATAGCTGTTTGATACCAATAGATACAATTTCTGTTCTGTAAGTCCTTATGTTGTCATATTTAATGATATTCTGTCGTTGTTTTTTTTTTCTATAACAAAAAAAAATAATTTTCAAGTTAATATTCATCACGAACAACACTGGATAACTGTTTTGTTGTTGTATGTAACTCCTCAGCGGTAAACATCCTTGATCCCGTCATCGATTGAACTCAACTAATCTCAGTCCAGGATGAATACTTCTTGAAAAATAAAATCCTTAATTATTTCAAAAATATATTGGTGCATAGTGTTGGGAAAAGCAAAACAGGCCTTCATTAATCTGAAATCAGTGTGGTGATCTACTGTACTCAACATAAAGGACAAGATCCAGATTTTCAACAGTAAGTCAGTCAGTGCTTACATATGATGGTTGAGAGACTTGATGCGTTACGAAAAGCTCCAGACATACATGAACAACTGCCGTCTACGCTTACTCGATACTGAAGATCAGATCAGAAGGCCAGAAAGAATAAGCAACAAGGAACCCTGACCGGGAAACCAACCAACCAACCAAGAACCTATCGCCCAACAAATATGCAGAAGTAGAAGATGGAGATTGGACATACACTGAGAAGACTGGCTGGGGACATCACGTGCCAGGTTAGGCGCTCGACTGGGACCGAAACGGGAAACGATGAGCTGGGCGTCTGAAGGTGACATGGAGGAGATGGTGTGAGGAAGAAATATAAGGTTATGGGGAGTCGTGGAGCCAGGTTAAAAGACTACAGAGAAGGGAGTGAAATGGTGACGTAGTAATGAAGCCTTATGTTCCTCTAGGAATCCAAGGGATAAATAATAATAGTGCTCATTAGTGACATGCTTCCAAGCCGTGACCTGTGAGGCCAGCTAGTCGGAAAAGAAAGCGGATGTCAGCTAAAGATTTTTGTTGATAGACACACTATATCATAAGCTGACAGAAGTAGGAAATATGAACCATTGGATTCCGACCCAATGGTTCACTGGTAACCATGATGACTGTGAAACCTGAAGGTCTTGGATACACACTGTTAAGGAGTCCCGTACTGGGAGGAAACAGCTGTCCGATGCTTCCACCTTCCTCCAACTGGTGTTAGTCTATGACGAATACTAACCTGAAATAGGGAAGTATTAGGAGGAAGGATATACCTGGAAGGTGGTGACAAATAAGTGTAGAATTGCAAGATATTTAAAGTTAATTTATTTTTACCACAGGTACAGTCTGAGTTCTTTTGTTCTAGTCTCTTCAGTCATCATTTTATTAGCCTGTTGGGGATCGCAGTCAGGTAGCCGGTATAGCTCATATCAGTATCCTTCCTACCTAACTGTATCCCAGCTGACATTAAATATCAGAATAGACTGTGACAGTAAATTAAAATAAAGCAAACTTTATTGGAGTAAAGTTACTCCTTTGATAGGTTATTGGATAACCTTGTCAGTATCATAGATGTTATGAGTTCACAAATGCAAAATAAGTTCTTTGGTATAGATGTTTCATTCTAGGTGTTAGAGCTTCATAAAAAGCCGTAAATCCCTGATGTTTTTTTTACAACCAATCATGTCGCACCGAAGTTTCGAGAAAAATCACGTGAACCAACGTGCAAGCATCCGAATGGTTGAAGGGATGAAAATCAATAGGGTGTCGATATCTAGAAGGGCCTAAATATGGTCAAGGTCATTGTGAATAAATATATATAAACGGTTGTATTTTCTATGCATTTTTGACGTTACAATACACTTTCTGTTACTTTATCATCTTTTCAATTTACAGAGAAACTAAGCGACTGTCAAGGGTGAAATCTTAAGGTTGTTATCCAAGTGTATAACTCAGGTTATACTAAGTAGTGACTACAGGATTAAAATCGCTGGACCGCGGAAAAGAACCTAGAAAATTTAGATTTCACCGATGACTTATGTTTAATGTCACACAAACTTGAAGATCTACAGGCGAAAACTAACAAGTTGGCAGAAGAGGCAGCGAAGATGGGACTTCAAGTGAATATAGAGAAGACAGAGGTGATGAAGATACCCAACCAACAACAGCAACAACAGGTCCCACTCACCATCAACAGGAGAAACTTAAACGAAGTAGTCTCCTTCACCTATATAGGTAGCACTGTTTTAACTACAGGCGGCACAGACGAGGATGTCAAAGTCAGAATCGGAAAAGCAAGACAGGTGTTCATTAGCCTGAAACCAGTGTGGAGATCTTCTGCACTGCACTCAGCATGCGGAACAAGATCCGGGTTTTCAACACCAACGTCAAATCAGTGCTTCTGTACGGCTCAGAGACTTGACGCGCTACGAAAAGGATTTCCAACAAATTACAGATATTCATCAACAACTGCCTACGCTGGTTCGTTACTCAAGATCAAATGTGAAGGCGAGAAAGAATAAGCAACAAGGAACTCTGGGAACAAACCAACCAACAACCCATCGCCCAACAAATATGCAGTGGAAGGAAGTGGAGATGGATTGGGCATACACTGAGAAGGCCGACTGGGAACATCACGCGACAAGCCAGGCACTCTAGTGGAACCCAGATGGGAAGTGATGAGTTGGGCGTCCGAGGTGAGGGTGACATGGAGGAGACCGTGTCAGTGAGGAAGAAATGAGAGGTTGTGGGCAGTCGTGGAACCAGGTTCAAAAGATCTCAGAGAACAGAGTGCACTGAAGACGTGCTACTGAAGCCCTATGTTCCATTAGGAACCCAAGGGACATAAAAAACAGGATTAAAATAAATAGTGATGAAGTTAGAAAAGTTATCTTCAACTAGGCATATTCGAAAACCAGTTTTGAAGTATTACCTTTACATTTGAAAGGTGTAAAGTATATTCTAAACACTTTTTAAATGTTACTGACAGTTTCTTCATCTAACAGTCCGTTGTATCTGGATACCTTTTTTTTACAGCTACATATTTGTTGATATTCAAATTGATATAATCCACTTCATAGAAAGTGTACAAGCTAACTTTGAAAAATCTTCTCGTTTAGCTTTTGTTTCTACAATTCAATTTGTAACCAGTTTACAGGCTGTTAAACAACCACTATTAGATGCTGGTTATACTGTTGTTATCCCTCAGTGTTTACCGTTATCACCAGGTGAAATACTTGGATGTACATCACCTAAGGTGTGTTTAGAAGGTTATTTGTATAAATTAACATGTATTTTCAAAGTTGTGTAACATATGCAACAGTTTATATTTGACTTATTTCTACCTTTCTCTCTGTTATATATAAGTTGGGATCATATTTTCATCAACATGCAAAGATTTATAATACAACTCAACCTAGTAGGGTTATGTAAAGACTATGTAGTTACTTAAGTTGAATTTTGTTGGCTTAGAGTTCGGACTATAGACCCGTAGTGTTTGAAAGTTGAGTAGCTATGCCAACAAGCAACCGCTCCACATACATAACATATAGATAAAATCAACATAGAACCTTGCACACAAGTACTTCACTTCAAGTTGCCACATTTATTACTAGTATGCAAACAAAAAGTGGATGTAACAAGAGTGATATGAAAGTAGTTCGGATATTCAAGCTTTAAACAACTTCAACGAGTGCATACATGTGTAGCACTGTGACCAATTTTCAGCCATGTCTCCAAGACTTCTCAACCATTGCTTCTTTTTATCTAGGGGACCCTAATCAGAAAGTCTACATCTCCCCAAATGGCTCAGGCTAATAGTCAACGACTTCATCGCCTAGTGCCAGGTCTTGATTTGGTTACCCTGATCCCTTTACCATCGTAATTCCACTTTCCCTAACATGGTACATTGAGATAAGCAGTCACTCGGTATGCGCAGTAAGTCTAGTCACTGTCTGCCTCGTTACACAATGTTGGCCGAAGTAGGTTCAGTCTGGGAAAAGGCCCTAGGCAGTCAGACTAAAACATGACATGAATGTATAAAGTCTTTGACTGCTGGTTTGAGCCATGTAGAGGGGCGATGCAGACTAGATGGTCGGACTGGTCTGCGGGACAAGGGTAGCCAGTGATTGGAGACTGACTGTAGGTGATATGGCTGAGAAGAGATGTCATTGGTGCAGATGTATCCCCACACACATTATCCTCATCTTAACGACTGTATGCCGAATCTCATCATTTTCTCATCCTTCCTTTCTCTGTTTTCGTATTTTATATTTCTGTTGACTGAATTTTGTTATCTTCATGTTGCACTTTACTGCGTTTTTACTTGATGTGCTGATATATGAGGTATGTCAGGTTGTGCGATTACGCGGTAATGCCTGGTTGATCTGGATGGATAGATGGTGGATGTGCAGTACATATCCAAGCTATCTCAGTCGACTAAGCTTCATCACATCATCAGTTGACTTGTCTGTCCTACCTAATACCCTTCATTTGACCTCAACACTGCTCATACAGTGATTCCACTAAACGCAAGCAATACTACGAAGATATCTATAATCCCACCTAAAACCCACTACCCGTTCCTTGCGGAGCTATGGTGCATTGGTTTAGGCAGTTGACTTTTAATAAGTGCTTCATGGGTTTGAGCATAGTTCTATCTACCAAGGTGTAGGCAACTAGGTGGTATCATTTAGCCCTCCCACAAAAAGGGTAGCTCATTGTCCGCTTTATGAACGTGAACATACTTGTTGTGTGCTGTTCTGTTGTGAACCTTCATCGACTGAGATGGCTTGGACATGTGTTACGTAACACCTGTCTGCTTCGTCGCACAATGTTGGCCGAGGTAAGTCCAGGCTAGGAAAAGGCTTGGGGCGGCCAGACTATGTATTAAGCTTTTGACTGTTGATTTGAACCATGTAGGGCGATACAGACTAGCCGGGTGGGATCCATTTAATAAGAGAAACCAATGATTTGAGATATAGACTGCTTGTTTGAGGTTCCCAGGATGATAGAAGTCACAATGGCTCAGAAGTACTCACTCTATGGCGTCATTTAAAGTTTGAATATTTGCATTAACTTCAAATTTATTTTCTAACCAAACTCCGTCTATTTTGATTGTACTCCTTTTATGTCCTCTGGTTCTTTTTCCACTACTTTGAAGTGTAGCAACGTTGAGTACGAGGTTCTACGTTGATTTTGTTTGTCTGTGTAGAACAGTGTGCCACAGTTTCAGTCATGTGGTTAGATTTAATGGGATTAGTTCCACCCATTACTGGAGACTCCAACGGGATTCATTGTGAAGAGAGAGAGAGAGAGAGATCCGGTTACTGACTGAAATACCACTATAGATTAACTATCCGCAGAACTTTGTGAACTAATGAAAAATTCTTTAAGGAAGGCAGGCTGGATTCACGAAGTACAAATCCTGTGCGGACCAAATTGCAACGCTATGCATCATCATAGAACAGAGCATAGAATGGGAGTCGATTCTCTACCTCAATTTCATCGATTTTGAAAAAGCCTTCGACAGCGTCGGCCGAGAAGTAATTTGGCAGTTGCTTCAACACTACGGAGTACCACAAACCTTTATTAACCTCATTCAACAGATATATGACGACGCTGCATGTCAAGTGATTCACAATGTAAAGCTCATTGACACCTTTGAAGTGAAGACAAGCAAGAGTAAGACAAGGCTGCCTACTATCACCCATGATCTTTCTGATTGTGCTCGACTGGACTGGACAGGATCATGCAAGAAACAACTGTGAGGAGCGAGATGGTCATACGCTGTTTGACCTATGAAAAGACGAAGACCCTAGAACATTTGGATTTCGCCGATGATTTATGTACAGTGTCTCGTCGCACAAACTCGAAGATCTCCAGGCAAAAACCAACAAGTTAACAGAAGAGGCAGGGCAACCATGGAAGACGGGACTTCAAGTGAATTTAGAGAGGACAGAGGTGATGAAGATGCCTAACCAACAACAACAACAAGCACCAATCACCATGAACGGGAGAAACCTAAAGGAAGTAGCCTCTCTAACCTATCTAGGCAGCATGGTTTCAACTACAGTTGTCGGCAGCACAGATGAGGACGTCAAAGCCAGGGTCGGGAAAGAAAGATAGGCCTGAGTGGAGATCTATTGCACTGGACTAAACATAAAGAACAAGATACGGTTTCTCAACACTAATGTCAAGTTAGTACTTCTATATGGTTCAGAAACTTGGCGCCTTACGAAAAACATTTCCAACAAACTACAGATATTCTTCAACAGCTGCCACCTTCGCTGGATGCTGAAGATCAGATGAGATGTCCAGAATAATAAAAATAAGCAACGAGGAGCTCTGGCCGGGCAACGAACCTACCAATTAAGAATCTGTCGCCCAACAAATTTGCAGGAGGGGAAGGTGAAGATGGAATGGATTGAACACACACTGAGAAGAGCGTTTGGGGACACCATGCTCCAGGCCAGGTGCTCGAGTGGAACCCGCATACGAATTGAGCGTCTGAAGGTGACATGGAAAAGATGGTGTGAGAAAGAAATGTAAGATTGTGGGGAGTCATGTAGCCAGATCCCTCATTCAACATCTTTTCACTTTTTCACTCTTTGAAATCTCTCTACAACTGGATATGCAGTTGGACTGTTTGTAATGTATTCCACCGATACATGCATACAATGAAGGCAAATTGCCGGTTATTGTTTCATTGAAGTCAATTTACTCCTGATGAGATAAGTGAAGATGGTTTCAGTAGTGCAATGAAAAGATGATTGAAAGTGAGATGTAAATAACCTCCTTTACATTATTATTATTTGTCCCTTGGGTTCCTGGTGGAATATGGGGCTTCAGTAGCACGTCTCCAGTGCACTCTGTTCTCTGCAAGCTTTGCAACCTGGTTCCAAGACAGCCCAGAAGCTTTCATTTCTTCTTCGCACGATCTCCTCCATGTCACCCTCACCTCGGACGCCCAACTCGTCGTTTCTCATCCGAGTACCTTGCCTGACGCGTGATGTCCCCAGTCGGTCTTCCCAGTGTATGCCCGACCCATCTCCACTTCCTTCTGCATATTTGTTGGGCGATAGGTTCTTGGTTGGTTCGTTGCCAGAGTGAGTTCCTTGTTGCTTATTCTTTCTCGCTATCTATCTGATCTTCAGTATGTAGTGAGCGTAGGTGGCAGTTGCTGATGAATGTCTGTAGTTTGTTGGAAATGCCTTTCGTAACACGCCAAGTCTCTGAGCCATACAGAAGCACCGACTTGACTGACATTGGTGTTGAAAATTCGGATGTTGTTCACGCTTTATGCTGACTTCAGAAGATCTCCACACTTATTTCAGGTTGATGAACTCCTGTCTCGCTTTTCCAATCCTGGCCTTAACGTCCTCGTCTGTGCCGTCTGTAGTTGAAACAGTGCTGCCTAGATAGGTGAAAGAGGCTACTTCCTTAAAGTTTCTCCTGTTGATAGTGATTGGAGCTTGTTGTTGTTGTTGGTTAGGTATCTTCATCACCTCTGTCTTATCTGCATTCACTTGAAGTCCCATCTTCACTGCCCTGCCCTGCCCTTCTGTCAACTTGTTAGTTTTCGCCTGTAGATCTTCAAGTTTGTGTGACATTAAACATAAGTCATCGGCGAAATCCAAATCTTCTAAGGTCTTTTCCCCGGTCCAGCGTATCCCCCTCTTCTCGCTGCTTCTCACTGTTTATTGCATGATCCAGTCCACCACAGTCAGGAATATCATGGGAGATAGTAGATATCCTTGTTTCACTCCTGTCTTCACTTCAAAAGCATCACTGAGCTTTCCATTGTGAATTACTTGGCATGTGGCTTCTTCATATAGTTGTTGAATGAGATTGATAAAGGTTTATGGTATTTCGTAGTGTTGAAGCAGCTGTCTGTCAAATTACTTCTCGGTCGACGCTCTGTTCTATGATACTGCGAAGCGTTGCAATTTGGTCCGCAGATGGTTTGTACTTCCTGAATCCAGCTAGCCAGCCTGTTCCGGTCGTAGTTTTGAATCCAGCCTACCCTTTATTTTCTCCAGGATGATGCGGCATAATATTTTGCTTTGTGTGGACAGGATCGTGATTCCTTGCCAGTTCTTGCAAACACTTAGGTCTCCCTTCTTTGGGAGTTTGACAAGGTAGCCCAACCTCCTTCGCATACTACTTATTTTTCTCAAAGTGTTTTTTTAGAAAAAAAATAGTGATATTACAGCATATCAAACTTTTAATTTGTTTTGTATTGTATAATATTTGTTTAGGTGGAAGGTGTTGATGCTTTAATATATCTGGGTGATGGTCGTTTCCACTTAGAATCGATTATGATATCGAATCCATTGTTAACTGCTTATCGTTATGATCCATATGATAAATCATTTACACGTGAATATTATGATCATAAAGAAATGCGTAAACATCGAAAAGCGGCTATTGATATCGCTAAGACTGCTGTCAATTTTGGTATTATATTAGGTAAGTTAGTGTTTATTCTTCGATTTGATTCCAGCATACATACATAACTGTTCCACAAGATGTTGTATATTCGAACACCTGTGGTAATACTACAGACTATTCTGAGCTAGCGGGTGAAATTTTCACGTCTAATGAATGTCCGCTAAGGACAACGAACCAACTAAGAACCTATCTCTCAACAAATATGCAGTGGAAGGAAGTGGAGATGGATAGGGCATACACTGAGAAGGCTGATTGGGTACATCATGCTCCAGGCCAGGCACTCGAGTGGAACCCAGATGGGAAACGACGAGTTTGGCGTCCGAGGCGGGGGTGACATGGAGGAGATCTTGTGAGGAAGAAATGAGAGCTTGTGGGCAGTCATCGAGCCAGGTTGAAAAGATTGCAGAGAAGAGAGTGAGTGTAATGGAGACGTGCTACTGAAGTGGTATGTCCCACTAGGAACCCAAGGGACAAATAATAATAATAATAAGGATATTTACTTGTGGTGATCTACTGCACTCAGCACAAAGAACAAGATCCGGATTTTCAATGACAGTCAAGTCAGCGCTTCTATGCTATGGTTCGGAAACTTGGCGTGTCACGAAAAGCATTTCCAACAAACTACAGACATTCATCAACAGCTGCCACCTACGCTGGCTCGATACTGAAGATCAGATCAGATGGCCAGAATAATGAGAATAAGCAACGAGGAACTATGGCCATTCAACGAACCCACCAACAAAGAATCTGTCGCCCAACAAATATGCAGGAGGGGGAAGTTAAGATGGATTCGGCGTACACTGAGAAGGTCGATCGGGGACGTCACGCTCCAGGATAGGTGCTCGAGTGGAATCCAAAGGGGAAACGACGAGGGTGACATGGAGGAGATGATATGAGGAAGAAATGAAAGGTTGTGGGCAGTGGCGGAGCGAGGTTCAAAAGACTGCAGAGAAGAGAGGCAATGTTGGCGTGCTAGTGAAGCGGTATTTTCCATTATGAACCCAAGTGGAAAATATAATAAGGATATTCAGTTAGTTTTTGCATAAATTATTGTTAGACGCATGCCTATAATGCACCCAATCACCTAGTGCACATCTGTGCGATGGACAGTGAGTCATACACTTATTGTGTGATGGCTATTGATACTACTTGCCTTGCTCTCCAAATCTCTGTAGGTGGAACGGGGTTCGAACCCGCGACCTATTGGTTGATAATCCTCCCTTTTAACCAGTGAGCTACAGCCCTACACACATATGTGCCCCAAGAGTTATTCCTCAAACCCTGGTTCCAGTCGTCTCGGGGACCCCAATCAGTCGGTCTATATGTCTCCATATGCGTTATACCAACAGTCAGGATCTTTATCGGTCTGGTTACTCTGATCCCTTTTCCATTCTAATTCAACCTCTTCTAATATGGGACGTCGAGGTAGGTAATGGCTCGACATGCACAGTTCATGTCTGATTGGGGTCATCTAGATGAAAGAAACCAGTTTTTAAGGACTGACTGTTAATGACATAGCTGTAAATCGATCTGCAGCTTGAATACAACTATGTTGAAGTATATCAACTTGTATGTATACGAGATGTTGTCAATCTTTGAATACTTCTTAATTTATTTGTATTAGGTACATTAGGTAGGCAGGGATCACCAGCTGTTGTGAAAAAACTTCAAGCAGAACTAGAGAAATCAGGTAAAACATATATCATATTACTGCTATCTGAGATACTTCCAAGTAAATTGGCTCTTTTCGATGAACAAGTCGATGTCTGGATTCAGGTAATTTGATTTTTGTTTATTTTTTGTAATTTTTTAACTTTTCATATTCTTGATACACTCCTGATGTATAGTTGAACTTCATCACTGACACCTATCAATAGAGAGAGAGGGAGAGAGAGAGATGGCCGTTATTGAAAGCCCACTATACTCAACACAGTTATCAATCGGTTTAAATTGTATATAGATTAACATTAGAAATGTGGAAGCACTGAACATCTGTGTCGTCCAATTAGTGTGAGAATGCTCAGCAGCAGTGCGTACCTAGAACTTTCAGATTCCTTGACCAGCACGTTATCATTGAACTAGCTACTGGGTTGGAATCCAATGAATCCACGTAACTGTCCTCATGTTCGACTTGATTGTCTCCACTTGTCACGACTTGTTATTGAGACTTCAAGAGTCCACCTTTCGAAGAATAGATGATAGGCATGCTTAAGATATCCATTTATGAAAAATCTACATGGACATAGACATATAATAGACTTCTACCAGTTGGATTCTTATACGTTGAAATCTGAAGAAATTGCCTTATCGACACCTTTAGAAGACAATAGTCAACTTCTAAAATCAATGTTCATTAGAAATGAAATATCTAAGGAGTTTCACAAATAAAAATCTACACTGCAAATCTACCTATAAGTTTTGTTATCATAATGGAAAAGAGTAAGTTGACTTTAAGCTTGGAATTCAATGGAAATCACGTTAACTAGTCGGTTGGTCAGTGGTAAACACATGGTGCAAACTACCACTACTATCCTCTTCCATGTGTATACATCCTTTTGAAGTAGTTACATAAACCGGTACGCATAGGCGGACTGACTAACATTGTCGCTAGTTTGAATCCGGCCACGATTGTACAGTTACTGAGAATGATATCGCTGAAAATAAGTTTTCTTCGCTTACAGTCTCTTTTGCTTCATTATTGAAGAAATCCTCTTTTCTGTACTGCATATGCCAAACCACCGCCTTCCTCAAGCTTGCCATGATAGGGGAAGTTGGTTTAAGTTTGAAGAGGGTTTAGGGTAGTTGACCGGATCGAGACATGGCACTAGTGCATGATGAAGCCCCTAACTGTTGGTCTGAGCTATGTTAAGGGGGGGGGAGATTAGACCTCCTGGTTAAGGTCCTGGAGGCTACAGGAATCAGTGGTTGAGAACTGACTCTTGGCGAAATCACTGGAAAATAGGTCACAATGGTGCAGATATCTTCTAGAGCTTGAATATTTTTCACTTACCGTTATCTTAAGATTGTTTATTCGCTCACATTTTGATATCGACCTTTTTCTATTCATCTATTCCCTTGTAAGTACATCACCTTATTGAAGAGTCTCTACTCGAACACTTATGGGCTTGTTACAGTCTATGGTGAGATGTCCAGGGAGCTATGCTCATCAAGTGGTGTCCGTCAAGGGTGCCCACTGTCTCCATTCTTATTCAATTTTATCATAGATATTCTTACGGAGGTCTCCCTCTGGTCACCAGGTTACTCAGACGTGGACCTAATCACAGGAGAATTTCCGTTAGACCTAGGATATGCAGATGACATTGTCCTGTTAGGTGAAGACGCTGGCAAGATTCAGAGTCTTCTGAACACTTTGAGTAGCAATTTGAGAATGTTTGGGATGCGATTTTCACCACCCAAATGCAAATTTTTGCTCCAGGATTGGTGGTCTTCAATGGTGCCACGGCTAACAATAGAGAGTGAAGTGGTTGGGTGTGTCGATCACTTCACTTCACTTACCTAGAAAGTAGGATCAACCCTGGTGGCTAGCTCAGTGGCTGATATAAAAGGCTTGGCTGGCTTTTGCCTACTTACGTCATCTGTGGCGCCGCTGTGATATCCGATTGTCTATTAAGGGTCGCGTGTACTGCACAGCAGTCCACTCTGTTCTACTGTATGGCTGTGAAACATGACCATTGAAGGTGGAAGACATGAGAAGGCTTCAAGTGTTTGACCACCACTGCCTTCGTGGTATAAGCCATATTCCTTAGTGTCACCAGGTGAATAAAGCAAAAGTCAGGTATAGAGTTTTAGGCAGGGAGAAGAGATCAGTTGAGTCAGTTGACACGGTTGTGAACCTTCATCGACTGAGATGGTTGGGACATGTGTTATGTAAGCCTAGTCACCGATTACCTCTTCACACAATGTTGGCCGAAGTAGGTTCAGTCTGGAAAAAGGCCCTAGACAGTCAGACTAAAACATGGCACCAATGTATGAAGTCTCTGACTGTTGGTTTGAGCTATGTGAGACGATGCAGACTGGGTGGTTGGGGTCGGCGAGACAAGAGTAGCCAGTGGTTGGAGACTGACTGTAGGTGATATGGCTGAGAAGGGATGTCATAGGTGCAGATGTATCCCCACACACATTATCCTCATCTTAACGACTCTATGCTGGATTTCATCATTTTCTCATCCTTCCTTTCTCTCTTTTCGTATTTTATATCTCTGTTGACTGAATTTTGTTATCTTCATGTTGCACTTTACTGCGTTTTTACTTGATGTGCTGATATATGAGGTGTGTCAGGTTGTACGATTACTCAGTAATGCCTAGTCCCATATTGATTTTGGTGATGATGATTCTTGGTTATACTACTAGCGTGAAGTATATCATCTTGAGGTGATACACTTGTGTCTTTGAAACAGTTCATTAAGATATGGTGAAAACGTCATCAAATTAAGGACACCACATTGATTCATAGTTTTAGAGAAAAGATAATTCACTGAAGAAAAGTTCTCTTTTTTTTTCGAAGGTATCCTTCTTCTAACGCTGTACAATCTTATTCATAGATATATTATACACATGTAACAGTTTATCATTAAACAACAGTGTATAGTTACATCATTAAGCCAGTTAATGCTTAAAACAAACTGAAATCAAGAATAGAGAGGAGTTACGTAATAATCTTTTAGACATTGGAAATAACGAGGAAGGCAAGAAGTTTGACAAAGGTGAAAACTGGTGTTGGTAGATGAGAAATGCTTGAGAAGTGGTTGACTATTCACTTGATAGATAGATGTGAAATTAAAACAAGATTTTGAAAGTGTTAAGACTTCGTGTGATAAGATAAGAGATAGAACATACTTCTTCTGAACGCATATATCAGGTTAGTATTGATGAATTACGAGTGCTTCTACTATGGTACGTACATAACTATCGAAGGCGTACTCCTTTTGAATTATTCTATTTGACTCTATAAATGACACTGAAGGAGAGAACTCTGGTCGAGTTATATGTTAAGAGTTGACCAAATATTCAAGAATTGAACTGTTAATTGATTTATATTCTCCTCTCAACAGTCATGCAGGATAGCGCTCATAGATACGTTCGAAAAGTGGGCACTTCACGTGGCCTATATAACTATTTCCACAGGAGCAAGTTAATTGGTAAACACACATTAAGGCGGCCCAAAGTGTCAACTTTTCGGTAACGCACTCCGGAACTAATTATTGACTAGAGAAGCTGATCTATAGCTTCTCAGAAAAGAATGCCTTCTTCAGCTATTTGAATAGCTGATTCTTCAGGATATCTGCTGCCATATCACTTTTGAAACCAACGTTCATAAACAAGGTCTTTTTTGGAACTGTGAGTACTTGTTCTGTGTTCTCTTTTAAGTTAAAGTTCTTCTCAAATCTGAATGGGCATCCATTTTCTGTGAGAATCCTCAGTAGTTTGTCTCATTCATCGTCGATTTTTGTGATTCTTGAAGATAAAGAATGAATCAGATCCCTTTTTCTGCTTAAAGAGACATCCAGGTATAGAAATTTGTGTATTGACCATTTCATATAGGCTTCTTATAAATCGATCTGTGAAGCGAATCATCTGGTCTTCATTTGAATAAGACATCGAGAAAATGGAATCCTCAGATCTCTTCAAATTCTAATGTACAGCTAAACTGATTGATAGATGAATACCAGTTATTCTACAATGAAAAATAGTTTGTACAATCACTCGTTTTGTAATGATGAATATGATTCAAAGAGACATTTAATAGTTCAAAGTATTTTCCCTCATCTTTATGTTACCGTGACTGTGTATTCTCTTCATATATCACATTCTTCTCAACGTTTTTAACCACTCTACTTTGTTGAGGTTGTTTTCAATACACTTGACTGTATTGTATTCTTCAACCTATTAATGTTAGTGATGATAATTTGGTTGGTTGTGGCTAGCAGAAGAATCCAGGACGCTCGTTTCATCCTATTTCGGACTTGTCAGCTGGATGTACCTCCATCCCAATCAGTCATGTTGTTCCCACTGAAACTCAAAGCTCGTATGCATCGCTTCAAACGCCAAGGCGTTATCCACTATATGCCGCAGAGGAACGATAGCCAGCCACTTCTTGTACAACGGGTGATAGTTATTACTATTTATTGACATACTTGTTATTCTCCGTTGTTTGTTGTGTTGGATCGAATTGTTCGACCTCTGTTGGTATATGGACTCCTATGCTGATGCCTCGACAATGTCTGTGTTCCAATTATATATTGCTGATGGGATTAGTAGCTAGCAATAGAATCCAGGACATGCTTTTCATCTTGTTTGCGACTCGTCAGTTGGATGTACCTGCCTACCAGTAAGCGATGCTATTCTCACTAACACTAGAGTGTTCGTTATCCACTAGTGGGAATAACATCACTCACTGGAGGGTAGGTATATCCATCTGATGAAGCCCATAGAGGACAAAACGAACATCAAGCTGAATTCCATTGCTAGCCACTATCCACCATTAAAGTCTAATATTCTGTGAATACTTTTTTCGTATTGTTTAATAAATATAAACAGTTGATATGCTTGAAAAAGTGGTATATATAGCACTTGTTATCTGACTTCAGTTGGATAATATTAAAAACGAAGAGGGAAACTGCAATATTTCAGGTTTGGGGGAGCACTGGACAGTTATTTCATTCTAATATAGGACTTGTCAGCAGTGCGCACCTATATCCCCACCCCATCGCACCACGGCTCGAACCCATATTGAAGGTGTAATATAATAACCAATCGTTTTCGATTCTGAGAATGAAAAGTTAACTTTTTTTTCTCTCTTTCTTCCTGTTTGTTTTTGTTTACTATATAAATTTCTATATCCTTATTGGTAGTTAACTCTCTTTTTCTTTCCTTCAAGGTTGCATGTCCTCGTCTTAGTATTGATTGGGGTGTTGAATTCACTAAACCTTTGCTTACACCTTATGAAGCATTTGTTGCCTTAAATGAACAAATTCATTGGTCTAATGATTTATCACAAGCCTATCCAATGGATTATTATGCTAATCAAAGTTTAGGACCATGGACACCAAATCATAAGTTGAATAAAATGGATATATATCGAAAATAATTACTCAGAGAAATGTGTAACATATGAAAGGCATAGATGTAAATACAATTTTTGTCAATGAATAAATCAATTTATTATTACTAGGAGTGTGCTATCCCTTGGTATAGTTTTTATGGATGAAATCATGGATTGAAATCATTTGGAGATGATGTATTGAACACCTTGAACTATTCAATGGCTGTTTCACATCCCGTCAATGATGGATCGTGGCTAGGATGCGCATTTCATCCTTTTTGGAATTCATCTGTCAGCTGGATGTACCTGCTTCCCAGTGAGTGTTGTCCCCAGCGGGATTCGGACTCGGGAGTGATCGCTTCAAACACTACAGCGCGTTATCTATTACTGTTTACAAAAATGTGATGTTTGCTTGTGAGCACGTTACTCTTTATACACTGTGTTGAAAATCTCATCGTCTATGGTTTCTCTATTCAGGATGAAACGACTACCCAGTTTACTCGGCTTCATGACTGAAGCTATGACTTGTTTCATGTATATATATATATATATATATATATATATATATATATATATATATATATATATATATATATATATATATATATATATATATATATATGGCATGCCAGTCGACAACGATGATGAAGATGCGGATAGTTTACTCAACGGAAAAGTTGAACAATACTAGCCTGAAGCTATACGACTTACGCAGTGATATTGAGCAGTGAGTCAAGATATTAAAGATGGAATCCAAGATGCACGTTGCATCCTGTTTGGGACTCGTCAGCTGGATGTATCTGCCTCCCAGTCAGTGATGTTGTTCCCACTAAGCCCCAAACCTGGAAACGATCGTTTGGTCACTTGTCGGCTTTGGATCGCTATTGTGTTTAACTTCCTAAAATTAAGTTTGATGACTATAATGATCTCAGGTTGGTATTCATCATAGACTAACAAATTTGGAACCAAAGCTACTTCTCAACAATAAACCAAACGTTCGAGTTATACGTAGAATCCAAAACAATACAGGATTTGTCTGAAATACCCTTCTATATTAATAAACAATATTGAGTAATGAAATAAAAACCTCGAATCGTGGGGTATCTATGGGTTTATTGCTTTCAAGGCACTTGAAAAGAGTGCATATCAACAATAATAACAGCAAAGCTGTGTCCAACCAACCACAAGGGAATATAAAACACGTACATTAGTTGTCACGTTGAAGTAAAGACACAAGATAAACAAACAAAGAAAGAAATTAGAGGAGCATCATCAACTATGAAAAATACTGATGTATGTGAACAAGATACAATGCAACAGGATGACTGCATGTGAAGCAACATTATAAAGAAACATGAACTATACTACTCAAAATTACTAAGTAGTATAAAACGTAAGATAAAAAAAGTGGGCAAAAGGGAGCATCCGGTAGGGTAAGCAAGAGAGAACAATTAAGAAAGGAATTAACGCTTTTCCTATCACAATCAAAGCTGTGGACTTTGATACATTGTTGAAGTAGTTGAGTGACAGTATTTATTACTAGTAAGTAGCTCAGAGATGTTTGCATAAAAAGATAGAAGTTGAAATTTGTGATGGAAGAAATTCAGTAGGGACTGCTCCGTATTTCACTAAGTAGCCAACATGATTCTTAGATCAATAAACGTAGCATAAGACATATACATATGCAGGGACTTCTCAAAGCTTTATTAGTAACCACTTATTCGTTCTTTAGTGTGTATGCGTGAATATTCTCAGATTATCACAGAACTGTAATGTAACATAAACCACAGGGTTTATCATCATCATCATCGTCGTCGTCAAAATCAACATAGAACTCAGACCTAGCGATCCAACTTGCCACATTTTATTTCACCACACTAAGTAACAAGATAATGTAATGGGAGGTGAAGAAGAGAAGAGAAGCGGGTTAAAAGAAGTAGAAAGTAGTAAAAGAGAGGAAGTGAAGTGAGAAAATGATGAGATTAAGTTGAGGATAATGTGTGTATCACATCTGAGCCATTGACACGGTTTTCAGCCGTATCACATAGAGTCAGTCTCCAACCATTGGTTCCTCTTGTTATAGACCCCGACCAGCCAGTCTGTATGGCCTCACAAAGCTCAAACCAACAGCCAAAGACTTTATACATTCATGTCATTGTTTTAGTCTGACTGCCTAGGGCCTTCTTCCAACCTGAACCTACTTCAGCCAACATTGTGTGACGAGGTAGACGGCGACTAGGCATGCGTAGCACACGTCATAACCATCTCAGTCGATGAAGATTCGCAACCGTGTCAACTGACTCATTTGGCCTCTTCTCCCTCCCTAAATCTCTACATCTGACTTCTGCGTTACTCACATGCTGACACTATGACACGCTGGCAGAGATGGTCAAACACCTTCAGCCAGCCTTCTCATGTCTTCTACCTTTAATGGCTCTGTTTCACAGCTATAAAGCAGAACAAAGCGGACCGCAGCACAGTACACTGGACGCATTCAACTACTTGACTGTATTGTTGGCGGGGGTGTACTGTTGAAGACCAGTCGTGGAGCAACAATGAGCACTTTATAGTGAGAAACGCAACCAAAACATTCTCAACTTACCACTCATGGTGTCCAGAAGACTCTGCGTCTTATTACGATTATATCCTCCACATATTCTAGGTCTTCCAGGAATTCTTCTATGATTACGTCAATCATTGTGTAATGAGATGACGAGACGGAGACCTGCATAAGAATATCGATGATAAATTGAATAGGAATGGAGACAATTGGTATCCTTGACGGACATAACTCGACGTACATAGATGAAACAAACATGTTTCAAGGAGGGTCTGGTGACGAAACAACTTCAGATGTAGCACGTAGCACGTAAAAAACATTTCAAATTTATCACAATATGCAGACATTCCAGGATATGATATGCGATACTTGTTCGATAAAACGAATCGAGGACAATGTGATAAGAAAGTGACGGAGAAGAAATAAAGTAGGTTGACCAATCTAGGAAATGATTCAGGTAATTCAGACAGCAATGAAACTGATACACGCCATTCAACAATCGATGTATTTGTATACATACAAGGTAGGCAACCATCACGTTAACTAAGAAAGACATATTATTTAGGTGATTCAAGTTGTTGATTCCAAGTCTTCAAAGAAGTGTAACGGCTACGGTGGGTGGCGGCGGGTAAGGGATTTCAGGATTATTTTGAAGAATATGGCAATCTTATTTTCATACTTTATCAAGCACACAATAGAATAACTTATTAGAGAGGCAATGAATGAAAGGAACGATCAGCAAACACTTGCTTTCCAATATGAGAATACTTCAATACGATCATTATAAGGTAATCGGAAAGTGAGTGAAACAGCACCAAACTCTCCACATAATTAGATGGTATCTCTCATACCTGTTTCATGAAACACAAATACACTAATGAGGAGTACAACTTTTATTCTATAAACAATATGCCGCCATGTATAGTGTGATGACAATGTGTGACCCTTTAGTATTCTGATATATTTCGTCTCATAATTACAGTTCGACTAATTATTATTCAGACAATATTATACTTGAGTAGTGTTGAACAATGTTTACCGTGTAAAGATAAAGATGAAATTCTTCAGACAAATGATGTGATATGGAATTTGTTGAAAATCAGTGATATCATATGATTAGTAGTGAATACTCTTCAACTCTGTATGATATTTAGACTAAACTGTGTAAAGAAGAGAATTTTGTGTTATTGACAAAGGTATTATGAAGATAGTAGATATTTCATAGTAGGATATGTTTATACAAGTTGATCTGATTTATCTTCTATGACGTAATAATATTTCAGGGCATCCTACAACATATCGTCAAATAATTCTCCACTAGAAGTTGTAAAATATATGTGATTCGAATGAATGAATGAATGAATGAGGTTAGTGTATGTGTGCTGATTGAGTACTCACTTGAAAATACACTATATTCAATCTGCATGAGAAGCAACGCCTTGGCTTGATTCGATTTCAAAACATTTGATTGATTTCGATCAACTAATTCACTAAACAATCAGTTCACTTCCATCTATTCAACCTGAATATTCTCATTGAACTGGTGGAGCTATCTCACTTCCGTCAGTTAGTTGGATGGATCATTGAGTTGTCTGTCACCTGAACTTCGTAATTGTATTTTGCCTCAGACTCACACAGCATATTTCCTCACTATCTCGAAACCTCAAATGGATCAAGGCAAATTAATTACTCCATCGAACTACATTCATCTTGTAATTCACCATGCACGCCGAGTGCTACTTAGGCCTGCAGGCATCTTATTCCAGGTACTATCTGCATTCCAAATATTGTCTGGATTCTTGTGATTGAGTTACCTTGTGGACTGCGTATTCCAATCTCATGTTTGCACAAGATGCTCAACTGTAAAGAAAGACCTGCTAGTAGTGAATATGAGGATGATGAAAAGATGAGAAGCACGTCTTCCATCTGACAATTTGGTGAGTAACAGGCTATTGGACAGAGTGACGGAATACAAGGAGTTTGACTGTGAAGTGAGTGATGCCGTCTCAACATCAGTCAATCATACAGTGACAGTTGTCCAAGTCTTCTTAGCCATACAGTTTTTAGGAAAAACTTTCCACATGTGTGTGATACACAATTTGCAGTATGCGCTTGAAATGGTGAGTTTCTGTTCGGGAAATAAACGCTAAAGTATCCAGACGAGCTTGCAACTTCTTCTGCCAACAGTGACTCGACAAATTGACGCGTTTCCCAGTGTTACATCGCAGCATGATATTTGACAGATTCCCACCATCCCCTGTCTATCATTGTAATCCGCATGTTAACCTTTTTACTTTGATTCAGTCCACAGAATGAATGTCAACATCCTAAGTTACACGGTGGTTAAACCACACACAATTGTATGTATGGATTGATCAGGCGGTAACCTTTGAATTCCCCGTGATGATGCATATTTTGTCTAGGCATCTAACCGCCTCCTACCAGTGAATAGTTGTCCTAATACAACAACAGAATTTACAATAAATTAAAGAATATATGAGTAGTGCACAAGAGAAGAAAGGGATGATAGAATGAAGGGGTTGACACTGTTTAAGACCTTTTCAAAGTGGATGAAGTTGAGGTGGAGAGTTGATTGCCATTCCATACTCCGTTCTATGATGATGTGAAGCGTTGTGATTTGGTCTCCACATGATTTGTACTTCCTGAATCCAGCCAGCCAGTCAGCCTGTTCCGGTCACAGTTTTAAATCCAGCGCATCCTCTAGTCTCTCCAAGATGATGCGGCTTAATATTTTGCTTGCTCTGGGTGAACAACAGCATGATTCCGTGCCATTCCGATAACATATGACCTCCTGTAAAATTGGATTCTATAATCTGATCGCTTTTCAGTAAATATTCTAGAAAACTTCTACATATGTTTCCCACAGTATACACTAAAATAATTTGAAGATATTATGTCCTGGTTTTTCCAAC